AAGCTTCTTCTACACCCATGTGGTATCTAGCTTTAAGGACACTCTAAAAGTGGGACGCAGGGAGATGGTGCAAAGGATTTCACCTTACAGCTAATTAGGGTGGACCAGAGAGTCAGGTACAAAAAGGAGTCTAGGAAGTCAAGGCTGCCTATGAAGCAGCAGAGTCATGAGCCTTGCTGTAACTTCGTCTCTGCTGACCTCTTGTTTAGATGTGGAAGAAATGCCCAGGGTGCCAACAGGGCAGCCACCAACTTTCCAGAGCAGGTAAACAAGCTACCAGTTCAAGGGGCCAGGATCATACAGTAATCAATGATTGTACTGTGATTTGAATTTCTTTGGAATTCTGTATCCGCAATTGACTGTAAGTACCTTGAAGGCAAGGAACTTGTCATTTCTTCTTTTCATCCCTACTACCTCCACTGGTACGTAGTAGGTGCTAGTAAAAGCGGGCAGGACAAAGTAATGAGGAGAAAGGTGAAAGCACTTGATTCTGTCAAGCCTGTGTATGATCTTCTCATTATGAATTATGACATCTAGAAGGAGGAGATACCTAAGATAGGATGGGGATGCGGGTGGCGGTGGGGGATGTGGGGGTGGGTGGAAGACAGATAAGATTTTTATCTGTTAAAATCAACACATCAGTGGCGCTCAGCAGTGAAAAGATGGCTGGTGCAGACATTTAAAATTAGCTTCCCCTGACGGTTCCTTAGCAACGCTCTACCAGAACATTATTGCTTTTAATGTGCACTGCACAACGTTTACTTGCACATCAAATAGCTAGGAAATGGCCATTGTTAACTGACACTGAACAAAAAGATAGGAAAAACACACTACTCAATACACCCTCCTCATTGCCCTTATGGAGAGGAACAAACAGCCCAGATTTCCTGCTGCCTGTCCCTCCCAGGCTGCCCATTAGAGGTGCCAATCACTGGCCACAAAGCCTTGTGTTTTCTCCCTTTTGTTTCTCTAGGCTTTCCTTCTATTTGATCACAGGTGACTGCCACCATCCTTGTTATTCGTTGAAGGAAGGCAAGACAGTGACTTTGTTTTATGTGAGGGCAATAAACCAAATAAATGCCCCCAGAAACGAACAGTAGTAGTAAAATATCATCTTGGATGAAGCAAGACATCTGAAGCTCATGCAAGCCAGTGGGAAAATTCTGTGTGGTAAAATGCTGTTTTTGTATGGGAACAAAATACGCAAGGCCGAAGTGATGAAGAAAAAGAAAAATATTAATGTCTTTCTTTGCTAAGCCTGTATTCCCTCTCTTGAAGTAAAAAATAATAACCAACTACTCTATGAAGATTTAGTTGTCCCTATATTTAAATGATGGAGTAAGATACAATTTTTAAATATAAAGGGCATCAGACTGCAAGTCAGAATCTCTACCACCACCGATCAGTAGGCATGTTCTAGGCCTTGCTGTAGCATGTAGTAGCCATATGTCCCTGGCAAAGGCACTATCAGGGCATTAATTTCGTCATCTGTAAAAGTCACATAATAATTGCTCTTCAGTAAAGGGCACCTCATAATTAACTCTTCAGACTAATGTGTGAAGCAAGTAAAATACTTGACAAATAGAAGGTGGTATTCTTATTTCTGGAAACATGTTGACTTCACAGGTATTTGAATTCAGAATACTCTACACCAGAAATTCACACTTACAAATCAAATCTTTTCACCATGGACCCAAATTGCCATTCTGATACTGCGTGTTGGCTTCCAGATGGAAATACACATACCAGTTGGGTGGGGAAGCGAGTGGCCTGATCCCAGCAAATCTGAGTCCCTTCTAGGTATTGGAGCTTACCTCTTGAACTAGGGAAGGAGTTGTTGAGTTGCTCCATCACCTCCTCCAACCCTGTGCTTGTGTCCTGGGGAGGACTGAGAACATCTTCCTCACCTTAATAAAAGCAAAAACAAATAATGGAAAATTACATTTATACAAAGCAGATATTAAAGGGCCATAATTACATTTTTAACACCATTATAAATTCATTTCACTTGCTCATAAATAACAAAAAAAACTCCTCAAGCTTAGTAATTAGGAAATAATTCTTTAAAGGGACGAATTCCATACAGTAGTTTATCTGTATCATTACTCTTGGAGAAAAAAAAAACCTGTATATCTTTTTTTTTTTTTAGATGGAGTCTCGCTCTGTTGCCCAGGCTGAAGTGCAGTGGCACGATCTTGGCTCACTGCAACCTCTGCCTCAGCCTCCCGAGTAGCTGGGACTACAGGCATGCACCACCACGTCCAGCTAATTTTTGTATTTTTAGTAGAGACAGGGTTTCACCATATTGGCCAGGCTGGTCTCGAACTCCTGACCTCATGATCCGCCCACCTCGGACTCCCAAAGTGCTTGGATTACAGGTGTGAGCCGCCACGCCCAGCCTAGTGTGTATCTTTTTAAAAGCTGACTAGAATTACTTGAAATGTGCCCCGCACATAGAAATGATAAATACATGAGATAATGAATACTCTAAATACCCTGACTTGATCATTACACATTCTGTGTATGCAAAAAAAAAATCACATGTACTCCATAAATATGTACGAATATTATACTTCAGTAAAAAACAGGCTGGGTGTGGTCGCTCATGCCTGTAATCCCAGCCCCTTGGGAAGCCGAGGTGGGAGAAGTGTTTGATGCCAGGAATTTGAGAGCAGCCTGGGCAACACAGTGAGACTCTGTCTCTATTTAAAACAAACAAACAAACAAAATAAATCTAAAAATTAAAAAAAAAAAAGTCAATGGAAAAAGGTAAAACTGACAAACTCTCTTTTGTGCCCCATTAACAAATGTGAAACTTTGTTCTATGTAATAAAATAAGTATTACTGCACACTTGCAGTGCAGTCTCCTCAACACAAAAGAATAAGAACTGAACACTTTGCAATCACTTCATGAAGGTAAGAAGGGAGTTGAGACACTGAGGTCTTTTCTTCACTCTTTCTTTTGACATTTAACCAAAAATACAAATGAAACTCAAGTACCTTTAAACTCCAATGTAATAGAAATAAAAATAGTATGTGTCCTATATAGGTCATGAAATATGAATATTCTAAAAACTGTAGATATGGCATATACCAGAGAGTTATAGTCCTTTCCTCTTTGTTTCTTGGGACTACTTTATCATAATTATGTTTTGGGTTTTATAAAGAAGACATTACAAAAATTTTGACTGTTTATGTGAGGAGAGAATGATGATCTGGAAACCAAACCTATGGATGGATGATATTCACTGGGATTGGAAGTCTCCTTGTAGATTTTGTGGATCTGTGTCTCTATTGTTTGTTCATGTGTTAAAGAAATACACTTCAAACAGCATTTGCAAGTAAAAGGGAAATTTCTTAGGTGCAAACAAAATTTGAAAGTAATTTTTCATAATATACAATCTTCCAATAGTGAAAATAACTTCTATTCAAGCTCTATTTGTTTTGCCCATTGTCACTTCCATCTAAAACAAGACCTTGCCATAGCAAGTCAACCATAGTGAACTTGCTTAGGGACAACCTCAGTTTTACATCTGACTTGGAACTGCTTCGGAAGCCAGTGAGTAAATGACTTAAATATGCTTGTCATTTCCTTTGGTCTATGCCACTTGGATTTTCATCTATGATTATAATCCTGCATTTATTCCTTGTGTGTGTTTTTTTTTTTTTTTTAATACAGCAGAAGCTAAAAGAATCACTGCCAATGCTAACCATTAAGACAAAATCATATTCTAGGTGGATGTGAGGCTTCATATTTTTATTAGAATGGAGGGATAAGAACGTAAGGTAGATAAAAAGCCTCAGACTATGTGAGTCTCCTGGTAACATACCACAGGAAACCTCTTTGCAATATCAAGTACAGGAAACAGGTGCTGAAGAATTAAGGTCACGAAGCAGAAAAGGAATAGTTACAAACTCTTTCTTCTCTTCTCTTTCTCTCTTCCCCCCCCCCCCCACATGCACTATTTGCTTAAGTTTGTGCCTTTAGAAAAAGAAGTGAAATTCAGTATTTTTAGTTTCATTTTTCTTGCAGTTTTAAACTACCATTATCTGGTGAAGATGAAATGAATGAAATACTACCAAGAGGATCAAGATCCTGACAACTGAAGGGCTGATTACATCTCTCTGTTCCATTACTGATGCAAATTTTTGCTGAATTGGGAAACATGAGGCATTTTTAATGACAGTAAGTCCACTTTAGTGAAAGTATGCCTTACCGAATAAATCAGAACCAAGAGAACATCATGAATGACGCTCATGAGCATCGATGTTAATATTTCTGACAGTTTAATTACATCATATTGGAGCTCTAGGAACTCAGTTGTACTGTGTTAAAATTCAGGCACAGTTCAATGAAGTGACTGGCATTCCTGTTCCTGTTCCTGAATTATTTCAAAGATCAAATTATAAAGTATAAACCTAATGATGTCAGCCAAGTTTATCTTTCCAGATAAACTCTCTGTGAGTCTTTAATATGAGTGTCCAAGTATAATGCAAATGTAAAATTGGCTTATTTGCTTTAATGGAAAACTTTTATAGCAGTGATAATTGCATCCATTCAGATATTTTTTGAGTGCCTATTACATTCTAGGTAGTATAAAAACAAGTAGAATATAATCTTGTTTTCTTCTTTTCTCAATATTTTCATGATTTCTCAAGATGGTTTTAACTCATTGTTTGTTTTGTTTGTTTGTTTTTGTTTTTGTTTTTGAGATAGAGTCGTGCTCTGTCGTCCAGGCTGGAGTGCAGTGGTGGAATCTCAGCTAGCTGCAACCTCTGCCTCCCGGGTTCAAGCGATTCTCTTGCCTCAGCCTCCTGAGTAGCTGGGACTACAGGCACATGCCACCATGCCCGGCTAATTTTTTGTATATTTTAGTAGAGATGGGGTTTCACCATGTCAGCCAGGATAGTCTCAATTTCCTGACCTCGTGATCTGCCGGCCTCGGCCTCCCAAAGTGCTGGGATTACAGGCATGAGCCACCACGCCCAGGCTCATCTCTTTTTAAGAATCGAAATCAGACATCACATATGTGCATGAGTAGAAGTGAATCAACTCATTGAAAAATGCTTAATGCGAGACTAGCGAACAATACAGTCAGGATGGCTAAAGGTGACCCCAAGAAACCAAAGGGCAAGATGTCTGCTTATGCCTTCTTTGTGCAGACGTGCAGAGAAGAACATAAGAAAAACCCAGAGGTCCCTGTCAATTTTGCAGAATTTTCCAAGAAGTGCTGTGAGAGGTGGAAGACAATGTCCGGGAAAGAGAAATCTAAATTTGATGAAATGGCAAAGGCAGATAAAGTGCTCTATGATCGGGAAATGAAGGATTATGGACCAGCTAAGGGAGGCAAGAAGAAGGAGGATCCTAATGCTCCCAAAAGGCCACCGTCTGGATTCTTCCTGTTCTGTTCAGAATTCCACCCCAAGATCAAATCCACAAACCCCGACATCTCTATTGGAGACGTGGCAAAAAAGCTGGGTGAGATGTGGAATAATTTAAATGACAGTGACAAGCAGCCTTACATCACTAAGGCAGCAAAGCTGAAGGAGAAGTATGAGAAGGATGCTGCTGACTATAAGTCGAAAGGAAAGTTTGATGGTGCAAAGGGTCCTGCTAAAGTTGCCTGGAAAAAGGTTGAAGAGGAAGATGAAGAGGAGGAGGAAGAAGAGAAGAAGAGGAGGAGGAGGAGGATGATGAATAAAGAAACTATCTGGGCCGGGCGCGGTGGCTCACGCCTGTAATCCCAGCACTTTGGGAGGCCGAGGCGGGCGGATCACAATGTCAGGAGATCGAGACCACGGTGAAACCCCGTCTCTACTAAAAATACAAAAAATTAGCCGGGCGCGGTTGTGGGCGCCTGTAGTCCCAGCTACTCGGGAGGCTGAGGCAGGAGAATGGCGTGAACCCGGGAGGCGGAGCTTGCAGTGAGCCGAGATCGCGCCACTGCACTCCAGCCTGGGCAACAGAGCGAGACTCCGTCTCAAAAAAAAAAAAAAAAAAAAAAGAAACTATCTGTCAAAAAAAATGCTTAATGCCTAATATTTTCTGTGTCAGAATATATTGTAAAAGTTAAAACAGCTAAATGAAACCTGAAGTTAAAGTAATACCACTGTAATATTTGATACTAACCCAGATTTTTAAAATGCCTTTTAAAAACCACAAAAGTTTAAAAACAGTAAGATTAATTTATTTATTCAAATATTTATTAAAATCCAACTATTGTTCACTGAAGATATATCAATAGGCAAACCGCACCCACACACTCTCTGTGAAACTCGCATTCTTATGGAGGCACACAGGCTTAACAAGTAAATAAGTAAACTATATAGGTATGTTGAGTGGTGATGAACACTCTGAGGAGAGGGCTAGCAAGGGACAATGAGAGTCATCAGAAAGTGGAGTCTTGGAAGTCCTCATTGATGAGATGCAGTTGAGCAAAAGCTTTAAGAACTGGAGGGTATGAGTCGCACAAGTATTTGAGGGAAAAGTGCTCCACACGGAAGGACTGGCAAATGTAAAGACTCTGAGAGGGGAGTGTGACTGACTTGCTCAAGTACAGCAAGAAATCCAATGTAGATAAAGCAGAGTGAACAAGAGCTGGGAAAACAGTACTTCCCTGGCCTGGGAATTTGGATTTGGCCACATAACCTACTTTGGAAAATGGAATGTAGGCAGGCATGACAAAAGTAGAGGCTTAGAATGTCTTTGCATGGTTGGGGTTGCCCTCTTGTGCTTATGTGCACAAGAAGCATATGGCCCAGGTAGCTTGCTGGCCCAAGAAGGATGACAGACATGTTGAACAGATCTGAACCCAGACCACAGCTTGGTGTCAAGTCCAGCTGAGTGCCAGCAAAAGTTCAGTCAAACAACAGATGCATGAACAATATGCAACTTGAGAATTTTGTGGTGATTTGTTATGCAGCAACAGCTGACTGATACACTATTATGGACATCAAACAAGCCAGATACAATATTTATGGTTTGTCTAATAATACACTATGTAGCTACAACACAATAGGTGTAGTATTAATCCATTTTCACACTGCTATAGAGATACTACCTGAGACTGGGTAATTTATAAAGGAAAGAGGTTTAATTGACTCACAGTTCCAGATGGCTGGGGAGGCCCCAGGAGGCCTAATGATTATAAGCTTACAATCATGGTGGAAGGCAAAGGGGAAGCAAGGCACCTCTTATATGGCAGCAGGAGAGAGAGAGAGAGAGTGAAGGGGGAAGTGCCACACACTTTTAAAACCATCAGCTCTCCTGAGAACTCACTATCACGAGAACAGCATGGGGGAAAACTTCATGATACAATCACCTCCCACCAGGTCCCTCCCCTGACACATGGGGATTACAATTCGAGATGAGATTTGGGTGGGAACATGGAGCCAAACCATAAATTGGCAACCCCAAAATATTTCTGACTCTAACAATAATACCTGTCATCACAAGCTCCTCATCACCAAAAACAAACAAAAACACCTTTTCACTTTTTTCAGTTATTCAACAAGAAAATACTTATTGAGTTCCAGTTTCACACTAGAGACTTGCACAGCCCTTATCCCTACTTCATGGATTCACTGCCTGCTCAAATAGCATATTGCTAGTGTTTGGGGGATTTTAAACTTAGTTGATGATAATTCTTTTTTTTTTTCCAGGTAGATATTTTAATGTAACAATATAATGATATAGGCAATGATATAATCAATTATATGATTTCAGATTTCACATTGTAATTATCCTTTAAGAAATTGCTATTTCTATAGTTTTGGTGAAATTGCAAAGAAAAAAATTCACAATGATCTGAAAATGCTATTAAAATACACCCCCCTTTTTTTTTTCAACTACATATCTCTATGAGGTCAGACTTTGACAAAACAGCATAACAGATGCAATGCAGAAGCAGAAAAGAGTCCAGCTGTCCTGTTAATATTATAAGATATTAAAGAGATTTGCAAAAATGTAAAGTGATACCACTATGTAAAATGATAAAATGATAGTCAAAATGTAAAATAGCCACTTTTTAAAATGTGGCTGCTAGAAGACTTTAAATTACATTATTTGTTGTTTGAGATGATATAATTATTTTTTCATATGATATGTAATATGCATTAACATGATTTTATTATTGCTTTTAAAAAATAAACAAATATTTAAAAATTGTGAAAATGTAGATTATAAGTTTCCCAAACTTCCACCCCCCACCACCACCAGCACCAAGAATTCTGGTTCCATAGGAATGGGCTTGGGCCTGGAAATGTTCATTTTGTATAATTCCTCCAGGTGATTATGATGCAGACAGGCCTCATCTACCCTTCAGACAGGTGCTGTCTAAGGCCCCTCCCACTCCTAAAGTGTAAACAGAAAGAATGAAGAGATATATTATTTTAGGGTCAATGGAGAGATTTGAAATGGTGTTTTTGTTTCCTCTGTGTAGATTTCAAGGCCAGTCATGTGACCTCACTACAAACAAGATTTTTGTGTCAATGGATGGCAATTCTTTAACATTTAAACTTGACTCTACTCCAAGGTGATTTCCACAAACACACAAAAATAATAGATGTCAGTGTGGATGTGGTGAAAACAGAACACTTTTACACTGCTGGTGGGAATGTAAACTAGGACAACCACTATGGAAAACACTATGGAGGCTCCTTAAAGGACTAAAATGTAGAACTACCATTATTACTGGGTATCTACCCAAAGGAAAGGAAGTCCTTATGTGAAAAATATACTTGCATACCAAGATTATAGCAGCACGATTCATAATTGCAGAAATATGGAACCAGCTTAAATGCCCATCAACTAACGAGTGGATAAAGAAAATACAGTATATACGTGTGTGTGTGTGTGTATGTATGTGTGTGTATATATATGTATGTATACACACACACACACATACACACACACACACACCATGGAATACTACTCAGCCACAAAAAGGAATGAAATAATGGCATTCATAGCAACCTGGATGGAGTTGGAGACCATTATTCTAAGTAAAGTAACTCAGGAATAGACAACCAAACATTGTATGTTCTCACTTATAAGTGGGAGTTAAGCTATGCAGATACAAAGGCATAAGAATGATACAATGGACTCTGGGGACTCAGGGGGAAGGGTGGGAGTGCGGTGAAGGATAAAAGGCTGCACGTTGGGTACAGTGTACACTGCTCAGGTGATGGGTGCACCAAAATGTCAGAAATCACCACCGAACAACTTATTCATGTAACCAAACACTACCTATTCCCTGAAAACTATTGAAATAATAAAAAGAAAAATAATGTTTTTTGAATTATTAGCTAGTTAGTCGTCTTGGCTTGTCTGTTGTGGTCCAAATAAATCACTGAAACATTTTTTAAAATAAGGAAAGACATAGTCAAAGTTAAACAGTACCGTGATACAGCACAATATGATAGTCTCCTTTAATCACTGCTGAAATGAAGAAAAAATAAGTCGGATGACTCAATTTAATCTGAGAAAAAAGAAAAGGAATGCTTTGCCATGGCAAGATATTCTTCAGTCTTCTGAAACATAACGATGGTTTCAGATCCCTTTCTTGAAAGGATGATATGCCATCTGACTCACTTCCCTTTCTTTGATTCAAATGCTGATAACGGTTTTATTTACTTAAAAAGTGATTTTAGCCAGAACCTATGCAGCCTATGCAGAGTAGACACAAGAATCACTCCTGTGATTCTGTCTGAATCTAAATAAATTATTTTCTCTTTTTTAAAAAAGGAGTTGTGTACAAGAAATTATTTTTTCTTATAAAGGGGACTGTGTATGAGCAAATACGCCCACCAACATTTTTCTTTGGATTTTAACCAGTTTCCAACTTGATGTGTTATCTTACTACTTGTGTATTTCCTGCCTTTCTCCAGTATTTTTTAGAAGAAAAAACACAATGATTTATCCAATACCCAATATTTGGCTTCAATTAATTTTTTTCCTTATGATATAGGACAGATGCTTTCAATTTCACACATAAATTCTGTGTGTAACATCTTTAATATATTATGGTGTACAATGTTGTTGCTGATTACCAGCTGATCAGTTTTGAATGGTGGTGAAAGCTAAATATCTTAAACGTGTGGGCTGTTCCATGTGTACACAAGAATGTATTGTGCTTGATTTCCAAAAAATTAACTCAATAAGCACTTTACTGATTGTCGCACAGAGTGTCCTCACATAGTAATGACAATGAGCAAGACTTATATCCCGTCCTTAAGGAGCTTAAGTTCTAGGGAGTTGTAGGCAGAAGCAAGAAGTACTAGTAACTGCCTGAAAACATGGCCGGGTGTGGTGGCTCACGCCTGTAATCCCAGCACTTTGGGAGGCTGAGGCGGGTGGATTGCTTGAGGTCAGGAGTTCAAGAACAGCCTGGCCAACATGGTGAAACCCTATCTCTACTAAAAATACAAGAAAAATTAGCCAGGCATGGTGGCAGGCTTGTAATCCCAGCTACTCGGGAGGGTGAGGCAGGAGAATTACTTGAATCCAGGAGGTGGAGGTTGCAGTGAGCCGAGATCATGCCACTGCACTCCAGCCTGGGCAATAAAGCGAGACTTCGTCTCACACAAAAGAAACACCACCACCACCACCACCGCCCAAAACAACAACACCAGAACGATATAATGCATGATTAAGTTCCAAAAGAAAACTCACTGAGTGAAAAGAAAGGATGCTATATTTCAG